ACACATATATATAATCTGATGTTCCCTTTCAAATACAGTTAAATTATTTTGATATTTACCTTGGGTTTTGGAACCAAATTTGAAATCTCTATGTTCATTGATTTTAGTGCTCATCACCAATTCATACCATGACTTTTCCTCCTTAAACTCTTACTTTTGGTTCATTTCATAGTTGGTTGGAAAACATTCTGAAGCATTTCTCTCAGTTTCTCTCATGACTGGGATATTTTCTGAGCCCTTGCACACTTGAGAATGCCTTTTGTTTACTGTGGCCCGTGCATGTATAAGACAGTCTAGCTAGGTGTAAAATTCTCAGGTCATAAACTTTTCCTTCCTCAAGACTTTTGCTCCATGGTCATCTGGCCAGCTTCTTATTGTTGTTGATTTTTAATTATGTATATAAAATAATATATATAATTTTTCCTCATCCCGGTATTTCATATATTTTGCAAAGATGTGTCTAGGTGTTGGTCTCTTTCCTTTGATTTTTTTTTTTTCAAATTCAGGGAGCCCTTTCCTTGTGCATGTGTAGGTCTGTTTCTTAGTAAGTTTTCTACAGTATTACTTCTCTTTACTACTTCCAAAGTGCATTTTCACTGTGCTGTTGGGTTTTCAGGATTTGGTTATTTTTTCTCCAGCTCTTCTTTCTCTCATGTGTCACCCTTTTTGTGTCATTAGATGACCTTTTCAGCTCAGCCTGGTCTTCCCTTATGGCTTTCTTCTCCTATTTCATAGAAGCTGTGTCTTTTCAGGATTTTCTTTTTAGTCTGCCATGCCCATTAAGTTACACATTGTCTATGGCTGTTTTCAAGTGATGGCACCAGGGTTTGAATAGTTGTGACAGAGACCGTATGGCCTGCAAAGCCTAAAATATTTACTGTTTGGCACTTTGCAAAAAAATGTGCAGATCCCTGTAATAGTGTGACAGCTGGATTCCCATCTCCACTCCAAGCCGGATGGCAGGGGAATGTATGCAGCTCCATCTCCAGTTCCTAGATCTTATGAGCCTTTTCCATAGATTCACTTCTGCTCTGTGGAGGTGGTATCCCTTTATCTCCACTGCCTGATTTTCTCACTCTGCATCAGTGGCTTAGATAAAATGCAAGGTCAGATATCCATTGCAAACACTGTCCTAGTCCCTACCCTTCCTTAAGCTTCCCCTCCTTAGGGGAGGGCGCTACCTCCAGTGCCCCAACCCACTTCCTGCCCATTTGTTTTCTGGTTGTTGGCTCTCTGTCATCTTCCCTTTTTTGTTGCTCAAACAAAGAGCTGTGTCCTGAGGTAAAACCTGGACAGGTTTTGCTTGTTCCACCACCATCTGCCTTTAATTAATAGAGATTGCTCCCAGATTCTAACATTGGGTCGTCTATCAGTTTAGTTTTTGGCATTCAAGTGAATTTTCATTTTTTTCATTGTCTTCAGAGCTATTTTGGAACAAAACAAGGAGAGGCCACATGGGTGGCTGCCAAGGAGATGCCATTTTGAAGGAGTCAAAACTGTATTTAAAAGCTTTGGTTTGTCCATCTTGAAGCCATCTCTGTAGCTTTGTACGTATTAGATAAAAGAAAATACAGGAACATGTTCCTTATCCGGGGACCACTTGTCCAATGACCTCAGTTTCTGGAATACAACCCAGAGTCCACAAGCAGCCAGCTAGCTGCCACAGTGGCCATGTTCTGGAGGTTATTCACTTTACCCAAAGGAGAGCATTTCAGTATCTCATTCCAAGCCTGTTTACCCATGTTTTACATACAGTACTAATAGGCTTGGTCTTGCTGTTTCCTAGCTCATAACTAAATTCAAATCAGCAAACCTTAAGGGAGTAGGGGGCATTTTTTGTGACAAAAAATACACTGACATGACAAGTATTTCTGATGGATAGAAAGAAAGACACTGGATCCCCACCACCACACACACAAAAAGCAAGTTCAACTACAAATGCTCAGATGCTGCTGTTTCCTGTAAAGGCAAGCAGGTTGAGGGGCTCTGTGTGGGCACCTCCCAGTTGGAGTTAACAACCACCTATCTGGGCCTTTCCTCTGCCAAGTTGGGTACTCTGTGCAAGTTATGGGTATAGGGACCCTGTCCCCACCTCCCACAGCTACAGCTGGTTCGGAGAGTAGTTTCTAAGATCCTGGCTGCACATCCAACTCACCTGGGGACTTGAAAAAATCTGGACACACAGGCTTCCCCTAAAGCCAATGAGGTCATGATATCCTGGGGTTGGGATCCAGGTATCAGAGTACTTTAATGCTTCTGGGTAATTCCACTGTGTATTCAGGCTGGAAACCAGGGGGTTAGAAGTGCCTTCTCAGCAGCCAGGCTGCTTCGTCTGTAAAATGGGACTAATTGACAGGTGCCGCACACCTTGTTAGTGCTGTGTGAGTGGCTGCCGTTCTGGAAGGGCAGACTAGCTTTTCATGGGTGCCCGGTCAAGCAGGGTCTGGAGCCTGATCTAATTAGACAGTGATGGATGCCACACATTCTAGGAAGATTTCTGTCCCAGGTGGACACTTGGCTCTGAAAAGAAGAGGTGTAAATGTTCCTGGGAGGGAAGGGAGGCAGTGTGAGCTCAAGGTGCGGGGTGGGTTGTCACGGGACTTAGCTGCCTCCCTTCTGCTCCAAGGTGTGGGGCAAACGTCTGGAACCTTCCTGGGCTCATTTCCCATCTTTAAGATGGGACTTGCAGTCCCACCCTCACAGGGTGGCCGTGAGGCTCGGAAGGGCTGGCGTGCTACAAGGCACTGTCTCCATCCAGGACCGCTGAGACAGAGAGATGTGTCCCTACCCAAGCAGAGGAGCCGCGGGGTAGGTGATTTCCTGCCGACCGGAATGCAAATACTGATGTGGGCCAGTGACTTCTGTAAAAATAAAACAGTGAGAGAGCGGCGGGAGTAGATTCAAGGCTGTCCATGTAATCACGTCACTGCTTGCATTCCAATTCACTGTCCTAAGTGGAGAGAACAGGGAGCGATTCCAGCGAGCTCGTGCAGCCCCACAAGGCCTTGCACACAACCTGCGTTCAGCCACAGCAGCAGCTTTGGTGTGAGCGTCATCTGACCCTGAGCTGGCAGAGACATGGCCCAGGGCGCTGTTCCCAACAGTGAACTGCGGTGTGACAGTGGACATGCCAGTGCCACTCATCTGTGTGCCCGGGCCGCTGTCACCTCACATCTCAACCTCTCGGTCTTGGCCGTGGAATGCAGGCTGCCTTCTCTGGACAGCCCAGGCCCTGCATTCCAAGAAGCCCCTAATTCAGAAACCAGCCAGTCATCCAGCTGACAGGAGGGACTGCTCGGGAGCCTCTGGTGCCCCTGGGCAGGGCATCCGCGTGGTGGTGGCATTCAAGGGCTTGGATCCCGGGGAGCAGCAAAGGGAGCTGTTTCTTGCCCATTTCCTGAGAATGGTTCCTAACTGGATGCCCTGGGAAGCTGGTTCAGGACGCAGCAAGGGGCTGCCTGACTCCCAGGGCAATGGGATGGAGCCGTTTCAGCCATAATTGAGGCATCAGGCCCTGCATCCGGGACCTCCCCTGCAGCCAGAGACTGACTCTGAGGTGGTCTCTGAATATTTCCTGCAGATCTGAGCTGCAGTTTGTGGGGAGAGCAAGTGGCACTGGCAGGCTGATTCCCCGTCCTGACTTTGTCCTGTGCTCCCACACACATCACTCGGTAGCCCACCCTGGCCTTGGTTTCCCCTTCTGCAAAATGAGGGGTTGGCTCCTGCTGCCAGGGCCGTCCCCCGTGTGTGCACGTTTCCCCTTCACCTTCTAGTCCCTCTCACCCTGTCCCTCACCAGAACGCTCCACCGCCCCGTGCCACCGGTGCTCCTAGAACAGGCCCTAGGCCAGCCTGGCCGGTCTTCTCTGCCAGCAGCTGGGGAGTTGCTGGAGCAGAGGGTGCTGCCTATCCCCACCTCTGAGCTCACGCTGAGGGGGACCCGTTGGTGTTTACTGAGACACAGTATAACCAAGAGGGCAGTGACCTTGACATCTCAGCCCCCAGTTCAAGGCCCAGCCCTGGCACTGGCTGTTCGGGATGCACTGGGCCGGTGGCCTCAGTTTTCTTACCTACAGAATGGGAACAGCGCCCACACGTGGAAGAATGGCTGAGAAGTGAATGAGATCTAGCGTGTCCCAGGGTGGTGCAGGGCGGGCTGGAGGGACTTCCTGGGCCTCTGTGCTGGGCCGCCCATCATGCTGAGTGTCGCACGGATCCAGCAGAGGAATTGCATCCCTTGTGCATGGCTGGGCTGAAGTTGGAGGTTTGCATTTCATAGGTGGACACAGGCCACCCCAAGAAGAGGCAGCAGGCCTGATCACCGGCAGGCCCCAGGGTCCCACACATCCTGCCTGGCTCACACTCGGGCTCTGGGAAGCCCCCAAAGGGATACCCAGCAGGCGCAGGCCTGGCCGCCCTGCCTCTCAGTGGCAGGGCCGATTAGAACTGAACTCTTCTTCGTGGGGCATCTTATTTGCACACTCCAGTAGAGTGGACACCAAAGGGGTTTTCTAATGCTTCATGGGCTGCTAATTTCCTCTGTGACCTCTTTTGTCCGAGCCTGACCCCAGCCAGAGGCTCCGCGCCATGAAAGCCAGCACCTGACACAGACCCAGGGCGCCGGGTGACAATGAGGCCTCTATCGTCTTTAATCAGGCTCCAGTTGTATCTTAAGAACGGGGAATTTGTGTGGCGCTCAGAAGCCCTGGGTGGCACAGTACCAGAGCCCCCAGAGTCCCTCATGGAGGCCAGGGGGCTGCAGGCGGCGGCTAAAGGATTCATCAGGCCGGGGTGGGGGTGGGATGGGAGGTGGGCTGGCCGGGGCCCTTTGTCCCTGGTGCCTCTTTAGAAGGCCAGGCCTGCCCTGAATGGCCGCCTGCTTGGCCTGGCCCATGGGTAACACGGGCCTCTGGGTATTTAGGGAGGCGGCCTCCTGCCCCGCCCTCCAGCCTATTCATCGCAGCCTAATTAGGTTTTGTCTGTGCTCTGCCTTCCCTGCAGACTGTGATTCCTACTGCAAGGCCTCCAAAGGGAAACTGAAGATTAACATGAAAAGGTACTGCAAGAAGGACTATGGTGAGTGAGTGCCCCCTTGTCTGACACGGAGGGTAGCTGGGGCTGGGCTGGGTCCCTGTGACTGGATGGGGTCTGGCTGGTTGGGTCCCAGGTCCAGGAATTTCTCATCTCTTCCACCTTGACCCTGGGAGGCAAGGGGTGTGAGGGGCCCGTGGGCAGGAGGCCTGGGTTTGCCCCCTTGTCTTCCAAGGAGGCATCCAGGCAGTGGGGTTCCCTTAGGGTGGGGGTTCCCAGGCCGGCCTCCGGCTTTCGCTTGGCCAAGGGGACATGTGGCGCGGACCAGTCACTTTACCTCTCTGACCTCCGGCGCCCTCATCCACACTGTGGGCCTTTAACTGGAATCTCTGGCGCTGAAAGTGAGGCCCTCCATGCATGAGCAGAGGGGGTGAGGGCCCTGCAGTGTGTTGAGATGCAGATTTCTGACACCTCCTCCAAGGTTCGGTGCACCAAGGCTGAGGTGGGTTGGGGGTTCTGCATGTTGAACAGTTTGCTGATAATTCTGATGCACCTGACGTTTAAGTACATCCTCTGAGGGTGTTTTAGGGCCAAGACCCTGGGAGCCGCCTGCAGATTCCCAGTCATCTGAGCCCTCAGGCTCCCTTTGCTGGGGAGGGGGGGACCCATCTCCTGCTCTCAGTATGTGCTATCCTTCCCAGCATGGGGACAGCGGGCCCCTGCACCCATCCTCTGTCGGGCTCTCCCTTCCCGCCTTCCCGCCTCCTATGAGCACTTGCTGAGAATCTCCCTGCACCAGCCCATCTGTGGGAGGTGAGGAGCTGTCCTTGTGGTTTCTGGTCCCTGAGACTGTCTGTGCTGGAGGCCTGTGCTGGCCAGATACCACATGACACAGTTTCAAAGCCTGACTTCGGCCATGGTGGGTGGGAGGCAGTGGGGGAGCCTGCAGCAAGAAGGGCCCCCTTAGCAGCCCCAGGGCAGGTGTGTGCAGAGAGCTGAAGGACACTTCCAAGTGGGAGAAGCACAAAGAAGTCCAGAGAGGATTGTCCAGCTGTCTGCTGGGCACCTTTCTTAGAGACCAGGGCATCCACGTGGGTGGCCAAGGCCCCTGTTGCCTGGCCGGGAAGTTGGCACCACTTGGACAAAGGCCCAGGTGCCCAGAACCCAGGCCTGGCTCTTTCCACCATAAGACCTTCCTCCTGATCTGGTGGGCCTGGCTGATTGGAGCTGGGGCTAGGCCTCCTCTTCCTAGCCACCGATGGTCCACTCTGCCCACCGACGGTCCACTCTGCCCACCTCCTTCCGCCTGCCTTCCCACTCCAGCTGGAGTTGCCCTGTCTCACCCATCCCTCCCCCAGCTGGTCCCCAGAGGCGAGTTCCCCACCCAAGGCCTGGCAGCCCTGCTGACCCTGGCACCACTCCGGGAAGGCCGAGCAGCCTCTCATTCTGTCCAGCTTTCCAGGGCGGTCTGATCATGCTCCCCGTGTGGCCTGGGGGTGAGTCCGTTGTTTGTCTGGTCTCATTCGCCTCGTCTATGGCACAGAGATGATGTGCTGCTGTGCATGTATGGAAGCTCCCAGCGTGGCGCCAGGTACCTAACAGGCTCCCAGTAAAGAGTGACCTCTGCCAGTTGGCAGGAAGCTGGGTGGGAAGGGAGGAGGGCAGAAGCAGAGACGGAGGACAACCTGCCCTCCACCCCCTCCCTGACTGGTGGCGCCTTCACAGGGCCAGTTGTTTGAGCCAATTGGAAGGGTTTTTCCTTTAATAAGGACAATGGTCAGGACCTTTTAGCAGAACGAAATGAATGACGAGGCCCAAAGGAATTTTTGAGAACTTCTGAAACATCCTCATTATACTGCGTGCGAGTGTGCATGCATGTCACCCACAGGAGGAAGCCAGTGACTTTCAGGTTTACTGCTCAATTTGGGAGTGGCCAGGCCTGTTCCAGACCCTTCTGGGCTCCCCAGTAAATCCCTCAAAGCCCCATTACAGTGTTTGCCTCCCAAGGCGGTGACTCCCATGGACAAATAAACCTTGGTTTTGGAAGTAAACTTTGAGGTGGTTTAAAGATAAAGGCAGTGTTGTCTGTGAGCCAGGGTGACAATTCCAGGGGAGGCCCCAGGATGTTTGTGGTGAAGCTTGCATGGCCCCGAGCTGAGGGCCGCATCCTCTCAGCCCCGCTGCCCACGTCTGCTGGGGACTTCGAGGTGGAGCTCCAGCTGCCCCTCCGGCCCTTGTGGGGATGAGGACGCAGGCAAGAAGGCCCCAGGATGCTGCTATGTCCCAGGCTTGAGGCCTGGGGGCTGTCCAGACAGGCCCGGAGAGTCCAGGCTCAAAGAAAAGAGCTGTGTGTCTCTCCCGCTGCCTCACCCAAAATAAGGCAGTGGGGAAAGGAAGAGGTGGTCTTGCTGGGGACGGGTTGCTTTGGCTTGGTTTTGAAGCGTCCTTTAAGTAGAGGCCGCGGAGAGGGCCTAGGAGAAGGGGAGAGCTAAGTGGTCTTTCTGAAAGGTGTCAGCCTGCAGCCCCTATTCTGCTCATGGAAAACAGAAAAACTAGACCTTTTATAGTTACTAAAACAGATCCTATTGTTCACCGGGGTCCGTTTGACTCAGTCCATTTTGTTCTCTTCTGACTTCTTTTCCTCCATTGGAATCTGCCTCCCCTCCCCCTGATATTCCAGGGGACACTGGCTCCCTCAGCGCTCTCCTGGCCCCCTGGCAATGGGCCAGCCCCTCCCTGCTAGAGGGCTCACACCCTCACTTTATAAATTCAGCGGTCCCATAACCCTCCTTGTGCCCTGCCTCTGCTGGGGTTCCCCCCGGGCATGGGGCATCTCCCCTGGGGGTGGGGGGAAGTGGGGTACAGCCTCTGGGTTCATTTTGCCCTCTGCTCCTTCACCTGACCCTCACCTTCCCCCCAACACCTGACTTGCTCAGGATTATCCAAGTGAAGTGGGGTGTCACAGGTGGGACCCAGCCCGGCTGGGTAAGCTGATTCCCACAGCGGCCTGCCCCGGGCTTTTCCTCCCTGTAGCCCTAGGGCCCTTCCTGTTCAAAGGGCCAGGAACAGCCCGGCCTACCCACCTTTCCAGACTTCATCCCGGCCACATACCCCTACACCCACTGCCAGGTGCACTGCCCAAATGCCCACATTTCTGCTGCAAGGCAAACTGGAGGGGCGGCAGGTGCAGGAGAGGAGCGGGTGCCCCTTCAGGGAGCTCATGAGGCTGAAGCTCTGTGCCATCGGCTTTAATGTCCTCCCCACTGTGCCCCCTGCCTCTTGCCCCAAGGCTGGGACTGGCACTGCCTGCTCATCATCCCCAAAGACCCTTGGGGGTGTTTCTCATCCCTCATACTCGTGGGGTCAGAGCTGGGGAGCTTCCCCACTGCAGCTCAGCATCTAGTCCTGGACGGGAGGTGGGACAAGGCTTCTGGGGAGGGCTTACAAGAACCCCGCAGGGAGGGTGGACAGGGCCTCAGGAAGAGTTAAGGAAGGAGGAGTGGTACCCACAGGGGCTGGGCACGGCGGTCTTAGTAACACCAGGGCCCACGGGCACCGCAGCAGCCCCAGGCCTTGCTCTAAGGTCTCAGGGCCAGGCCCGGGGACTTTGTGGAGAATCTTCCCTGCATCCTGTTGGGAAGGTGGACCTCTAGAAGAAGGGTGTGTGGGGGTTTCCCTCCTGTACCGGGGGCAGACATGGGCCAGCCCAGGGACAAGAGAGCAGGAGGAGGCCTGGCCCAGGGACTGGCAGGCCAGGCCAAGGAGGATTGGAGAGGTGGGGTGCATAATACCTGCCCTGTGACTGACCCCGGCAGCGAGCCGATTGGGAGGCACCCATCACTTCTGCACTTCCAGCCAGCACATTTGGAAGGTCCAGAAGCGGCTAATTAGAACCTCAGGTTTGTTCCCCCTGCCAGGTGAAGAGCAGGCCCCCGGCCCCCTCCCTCCCCTGGGGCCTGCTGGGCGGGTCCTGATGTGGCTGCCAGAAAGCATGGGTCTGTGTCTCTGCAGACCTGAGCAGTGGGCAGAAGGCAGGGAGAAGCAGGATGGTGGGGGGCAGTGAAATCTGGGGCTGGGCCTGCCCGGTGTTCTCCAGCTTGTTTCCCATGGAAGAGGGCCCAGCCTGGGTGGGGTTGGGGTGGGCACCAGACAAGGCGAGAAGGGATTGGGATGAGAGGAGGGCCTTGGGCCATGCCCACCATCCTTCTCATGCCCCGAGAGACCCTGTGACGTGGAAGGGTGGCCCATTCCATTTGCATCTGTAGGGAAAGGGGCCCTGGCCCCAGAATCTAGAAGCACAGATTTCTGACTAGCTGTGTGACTCTGGACAGGGAGCCTCCCCAGCCCGGCTTGTCTCCTCATCTATCAAATGGAGGTGCAGTCAAGGGGACATGACATCCTTCTAGATGAGACATAGCTCGTGGCCCCACCATATCAGGCACCCTCCCCGAGGGGCAGGGGTCCGTGGTGAGGCTGCTAGGCCGGCCGGCCTCTCCTGGGGCCACCTCGGTCCTCTGTTGCCCTCTAGGGGAATCTGGCTCACCTTGCAAATGCTTGAAGAAGCACAAGAGATAAGGCTAGTAAGTGTGGGACAGTCTCTCCTGGAAGACAGCTTTTGTTCTTTTCAAGTGTATGGGCAATGCCTGCCAACTTCTCAGGGAAACCTGGCCCTGGAGGGGCCCGCCCTTTGTGTAAGTGCTCCAGGTGAGTGTACTTCTGGGCTGTGTGAGTGTGTGTGTGAGTGTGTGCACGCCCACAAGATCTGTGTCCTGTTGTGTACTCTGATGTGGGTGGAACACGTCCCTGCTGGAGTTGCCCGCTCTGTGGCTTGTTTACCAGAGGCCTGGGCTCTAGACCCACCCCCAGGAGGGTCAAGGGGATGAGGTAACGGGATGGCACTGTGCTCCAGGCAGTTGATCACGTGCAGTGTTGGGCCAAGCCTGACCTGGGGCCGGCATCTCGTGGCTGACGCTCCGCGAAGGTTTCAGACCCAGTGCCCCTCAGCTGGTGTGGGAAATGGCGCCATCCAGCCTCCCTGATAAGCT